ATGTCAAAAAATAAATTTGACCAACTACAATAGAGATCGTATAGCTAGAATCTTGTACATTTCTTAATGAAGGTCCTATTCTCTCCTGAGAGTCCTATCTTTGTTTTACAATAGATGTTTGTTTAGGATCTAATAATCACAAAGCCTCTACCTAAATAGATTCAAGAGCCTCAACTTATTTTTTAGATGAAGAATTTGTTAAAAGTCATAATATACAGTTAGTATAAAAATTAAATCCATATATGTAAAAGTCATAGATGGTCATCCGTTAACTTCTAAAGATGTTATTCATGAAATACATCCTATAGATGTAATAATAAATGGTCATAAAAGTTACATAATTTTTAATATAATTAGATCTCCCTCTAATTCAGTCATTTTAGGTTTATCATGGCTAAAAATATATAATCCTAATATATATTGGATTTCTCATAAATTACACTTTTCTTCAAACATCATTAAGAGTTTTTTTAATCCAATAGAAAGCCATGAATTTAGTATAGCCAAACATATATTTGTAGGTGCAAAAACTTTTTTTCATGTTGCAAAAAAAAGATCGTCTTTTGTTATTTACAGCACATCCATTTTAAATGATGGAAAGATTTCAAGTAAAATTCCAAGTCAATATCAAGATTTTTAAGATATTTTTGAGAAGAAAAATGTAAATATTCTCCAAGAATATCATCCATATGATTGCTCAATCAATCTTAAAAAAGGAACTCACCCATCATTTGGTCCAATCTATAGTTTATCACACAATGAGTTGGCTGAATTCAAGAAGTATATTGATGAGAACTTAGCCAAAAAATTTATACGCCATTCAAAATCTCCTGCAGAAGCTCTTATCTTATTTGTGAAGAAAAAAGATGAATCATTGCTAATGTGTGAATTATCAAGGACTCAACAAGATTATCATCAAGAATAGATATCCTTTGCCTTTAGTAACTAGACTTATTGATCAATTAAATCAAGCTAAGATCTATACAAAAATAGATCTACAAGGAGCGTACAATCTAATCTGCATTAAAGAAAGAGGTGAATAGAAGATTGTATTTTAAATAAGATATAGATACTTTGAATATAATGTCATGCCTTTTGGATTCATAAATACATCAAATATTTTTCAACATTTTATGAGTGATGTTTTTTTTAGATTCTAAATAATTTTGTTGTTTGTTACTTAGACGACATTTTAATCTACTCTAAGAATGCAAAAGAATATGAAGTTTATATTCGTCATGTGTTATAATAACTTAGAGATGCGAGATTGTATGCCAAGATAAAATATATATATATATATATATATATATATATATATATATATATATATATTCTACACTGCTCAAGTTAACTTCTTAGGATACATCATTTCAAACAATGGTCTAATGATGGATCCTAAAAAAATTCACACAATCATGGATTAGAAGATTCCAAAAACAATAAGAGATGTACAATGCTTTTTGAGATTTGCTAATTACTATTAGATCTTCATTAAGAACTTTTCTCAAGTTGCAATGTAATTTACATACTTAACTTGTAAAGACAAGCTCGAGTAGATTAAGAAGCAAAAGCATCATTTGAAGCTTTGAAAAAAGTTTTACTTCTGCACCAATCATACATCGCATGAACTTCTCTAAAGCATTTTTTATAGAAATAAATGCATCTAACTTTGCCTTGAGTGTTGTCTTGTCACAAAAAGGAGTAGATAACAAACTTCATTTAATAGCTTTTCATTCAAGAAAACTTTCAAAAGCTAAGATTAATTATGAGATCTATGACAAGGAACTTTTTGCAATCATGGATTCTTTTCAAGAATGGCGTCATTATTTAGAATGCACTCTAAGTCTAGTTACTATGTATATAGATCACAAGAACCTCAAATATTTCATGTTAGCATATATTTTGAATCGTCGCCAAGCCCATTGAAGCATGTCTTTGTCAAAATTCGAATTCAATATCACTTATCAACCAGAGAAATAACAAGGTTTGTTTGATGCCTTTTATAAAAGTTCTTATCTTACATCAAAAGAAGAAGAATCAGCTTTTGACCAACAAAAGATAATTTTACTAAAGCCAAAAAAAATTCATCTCCGAGCAATAAAATCAACATTGATTGTTGATTTGACTTTTTTCAAGCAGATCCAAGTAAGTATGTTATGAGACCTTCTTGTTTATAATATTGAAAATAATTCTTCTAAATCTCAAGATACTTTCAAGTTTGAGTTTAAGAAAAACCTATTCTATTTCAAAGGATGCTTATATGTTTCAAAAAGAGAAGCATGATTATGTGCTCTTGAAGCTTGTCACAATTTCCTTGCAGTATGACATTTTGGATATAATAAGACTTTAGAGCTTATATCTAGAGATTTTTGGTGGCTTCAAATGTGGAAGGTTGTTAAAGAATTTGTACAAACATGTGATATTTGTTTAAGATCAAAAACTCCTTATCATCGACCTTATGAATACTTCCAACCATTAACTATACCAGAACAAACATGGTCTTTTGTTTCTATGGATTTTATCACGGATCTTTCAATTTCAAGTTCATATGATTCCATATTTGTGATTGTAGATCATTTCATCAAGATGGCACATTTTGTACTATATACAAAATCTATCATAGTTAAAAGAATAGCTAAACTCTTCTTTGACAACATCTATCACTATCATGGATTACCAAGGAATATTATATGAGACAAAAGAACATAGTTTTTATCAAGATTTTGAAGAACTCTTTTCAAGATATTGAAGGTGGATATAAAACTATCTCCAACTTTCTACCCTCAAACTGATGGACAAACAAAATGGATAAATCAAGTTTTAGAATAGTATTTGAGATGTATTATCAACTATCAACAAGATGATTGGACAACTCTTTTGCCATTAATAAAGTTTACTTACAATAATTTGATATGTTCTTCTATTCAACAAAGACCTTTCTTTACCAATTACGGTTATCATCTACAATTTGATACTTTTGACTTTTTAAAAGTTGATAATCCTGCGGCAAAAGATATGGTAAATCGATTGTGAGAACTATATGTAATAATGAAGGTACAATTAAAAGAAGCTCAAGAATAACAAAAAGCCAATGCAGATATCTATCATAAGGAACAACCTCAATTCCACGTAGGAGATAAGGTATGGTTACTTTGTCACAATATTAAAACTATTCATCATTGTGACAAGCTAGATTATCATAAGTTTCGACTATTTTCTATTTGTGAACAGATCAATCCAATTGCTTATCAATTATACCTACCAGAATCTATAAAAATCCATCTTGTGTTCCATATGTCTTTACTTGAGCCATACAAGAGGTAGGAACCATTCTTTATGGTATTACTAATATTTTGTTTGAAGAAAGTTATGAAGGCCTCAATAATGATCAAATATTGGGGTGGTCTTCTTGCTATGGTATGGGACATTATTGATGGTTGAAAGGACCTACCAACTACCTTCAAAGGGAACAAAAATCAGAGTACGTGACAAATACAATTTGGCACATCTTGAATTTCATTAATATGTAATCACCACTCCTTATAGAACTCGTCTCTAGAAAGGAGGATAATGCCATGGATATACATATTTACCCTGATAATTATCTAGATAATAAAAATAGCTAGAAGTAAGTCAAAGTAGATAAATATGATAATATCTTGTGGAAAGCTTTCTAAAAGCTTCATAGACGCTACTTTGTTTTTATACATGTCTACATGTGATTGGTAGATTGAAAACTTGGCCAACAAGGACACTACGTATCGACATGTTGACCACTTAAAGTACAAGTTAGATATATGGTGCATACCTAAGAAACTTGCCTTGCAAATTAGACATGTGTCCTGCAAGTTGGATGTGTATTAGAAGTCATATAGTATGTTGTCACATAGTTCTTAGTTAAGTAGTATATATAGAGGCAAGAATGAGGCCTTCCTCACTTTTGTCAACTCATTTCTTGCTTTTAGTCTAGTTTCAAGAGTCTCACATTTTTTAAACTTTGGCAATAACCATTCTTATTCTTCCTAAAATATACATACTTTCTTCTATTTTGTATACTTTCAAGCTTCATAGTTTTTATCTTTAACTTAGCATTTTTTATTTAGATAAATATATATGTCCATGATACATAGATCTTTTTTACGTAAAATTTACTTTACATAAAATGCCTAAAAGGTGTAGTTTTAGATACTAATGAATTTCTTGCTATCAAAGAAAGAAATCTTCGTTACATTGGAGGTTGACAAAACTTAGCATTTTTTAGGGTTTAGGGTTTAGCGTCTATGAAGCTTTTAGAAAGGACAATGTTACCTAGATTAATTGACAAGATCATATGGCTTGATTTCATTACCAACCATTGAGTTTACATGCTAAACTAAGATGGTTGGACATTTCTTACTTAATACTAGAGTCAACAAGATGGAAGGCTTTCAACAATCTACTGGTGGAAGGGTCATGGATACATATCTCATGACACATACATTCTTTTATCCACGAACAAAGAAAACATCAGAAATCAATGTTTTCAAGCTTAGTTTCAAGTATCATTATTATTTGCCGATGTTGATTGATGTTAATTTTGGAGCACCACGCTTTACCGGCAATTTTTGAATTAAAAAGTATAATTGATCGTCATCTGCTCAAGTAGTGGTTTTGAATTAAAAAGTATAATTGATCGTCATCTGCTCAAGTAGTGGTTTGGGTTCCATTTCATCATTTAGTCTTGTAATATATGTTGAATGGAAGCCTGTTTGAAAATCTTTGGATATCAAATTAATCCTTTCAATGTAATGGTTCCATTGCATTGATCATATCAACACAATTTATGCTTCCACTATTCCTGATAATTCATCTGCTACATGACCACTTTACGCAAGTATGTTTTTTGTATTTTAAACCAATCTTCTCTAATCTAAAACAAAATTCAACCGATTGATACACCTTGAGTCCTCATACAAAAAAAGCTTATACGATATTCCATACCTCAGCAGCGATACAGCGCAATGATAGGAATAAGCCCAAACGCAGACAACGGAGAGGTTTGGTGAGTGTCTCCAGCAAACGGTGATTTCTCCGCTACCATCAGCCTCGGGGCATCCGAAAACACGGTGCAGCCCCATGTGGGTTTAGGCCATCTCCGTGTGTGCATCTTGCCATTCCCCGCATACAATCAACCCCACACGAAGTAATCCCGCCAATGTCACCATTCCTATCCACACATTGTCAATTCACAGACACTCCATCCTTCTCTTGTTTGATCGAAGGATCGTCAATGGGCCCTTTCGGCAATCTAACAAGTAGAGGCTAACAAAGCAGAGATCAACTATAACTCTATAACTCTAACTATAACTATAACGCATGCCTCTTCATAGGATAGGTGGGGCAGCGGAGATATGCCATCTCCCCACCGCCATGGCGGCCACCTGGCCGCTCCTCCCTTTCCCGTCAGCGTCAGATGGTTGTTCTTTTCGCCACCGTCACTCTTCTATCGTGTCCAGGGATTTCGGGGGTCTTTATTTAGCATCTCATTTTGATTCTGAGCTCGTCTTCCTTCAATTTGAGAGTGGCTCAAGACTTCGCGCGTCAAATGTAAGAAATGGAGCCATCACCAATACCCAGGAATTTGCGAGCGCTGTATGAATATGTTGTCACTTTCTTCCTTAACTGGTACTCATATACGTTGGCATTGTCGAAGATGGCCATGGTTCCTAGATGGTTCTGTCAGTTCGTCTTGAGTTTCTGGAATAACTTCGTTAGGATATGGTGGACGGAGTTGTGACCTCGACGCAAGAGGGACGGAGGTGGAGAGCGCAACAACTCCGGTTGATGATTCACGCTCCCAAGGGCTTACAGACTGCGCACTACCAGGGGACTTTTCATGCAAGGCATGGTGGAGAGAGAGATAACTGCCAGGTTTGCTTCCTTGCTCTTTGAAATCGGCGAATTGTGCGAGGCTAATGAATCCCAAGTGTGGCTTGTCTCTTGTAAGAAAACTCGGCGGGCAATGCATATATCCTTCAGATTCTTTTGTATCCAATGTGTTCAAGACTCTCATATCCCGTTTGTCCGTCTCTTCCGAGTGTGTATCCGGTTCATTTTGTTATCGCTTGCTACAGATTCGGCCTTCAGGCTTAAGAGTGTATCGAAGTTAGCATTATGTTTTGCCCTTAGAATAAGCAGCAACTTTGAATGCATATTGAAAAGTTTAAAAGGAGCTTAGATATGGAGTCCATGTGAAACTCTTCAGACCTTCCATACGAAGGGTAAATATTAGACTACACAGTAAAAAGCGTTGACAGAAGTATATCTCAAGAATTGACTCCTGGCAAGGAAAACATACGAGCTAAAATAGAAGCTCACATGCTTGAGCAAAGTCAAATTACTGATGGCTTCTTCATCATAAACAAGGCAACTTGTCTGTTGACATTGACGACATTGGACTTGGCAAAATGCTAACAGATGGCACCTCGAATGTTGTTGACGACGAATTTGGTGAAGGTCACAATTTCATATAACCTTTCTCAAAGACTTCTCGTTCATGCCAGTAGTATTGGAGACTCTCCAATATCATCGCCTTGAGATGCCTCCACGATGCCCTGACTTGGGATAGCGCTCGCACAAACATGTACTGAGATTCTTAATATGTCTTCGAGAGCTCTAATTTCAGCAACCGTGCAGACATAACGAGAAACGATTTACAAACAACCCTACGTTGCATCCTCTGTCTACGACAAACCAGGCTATACACGAATGCCGGTCACTGACACATTCACTTTAGAAGGTTGAGGTTCTCTCGATCCGTTCCTCGTTTGCAGCTTAAAACATTGAATAGGAAGTAGGTACTAGATACCGCCACAGTAGCAGATGAGCTGTGACATTGTTTCTCCTCTCACTCGAAAGCAATTGCTCAGGGCTGAGACTGGATTTGGAACAAACTGAGAAACCACATCCTGCAACTGAATAGGATGATCCTACATATGCCCCTGGCGTAGAGCTTTCGTCAGGATCGAAACCACGCAATCACCACTACAATGTCTGGTGTCTCTCGAGGGATATCAAATTCATGGACATCAGAAAAAGGAACACGCCGGAGCAACCCACAGGAAAGACTTTCAGTATCAGCACAATTCTCCTTGGAATGATAATCTCAGAGAAGTAAAATGAGGATACCGTTAAGAAGTTCCTCTTCCCGAAACAAACTTGCGAATGCAACGTTTCTCCGGAAGAAACTAGACCAACACCTCGCCATAGCTTTCCCATACGCTGCAACACCGACTGCAAGGCTTCAACGATAAACTTTTGGAGTCGAAGACGGTCGATTTGAAGGACGAACGGAAAAATTTATCGTGCAATAGATTTTCAGAGCAGCTGACATAGTAACAACGTGTCTGTAAATTGGGGAAAATCCCAATCGAACTATTAAACCAATTTATAACCACTAAGTGCAAATTTTGAAGTGCTTGGGGACATTCGATCATTTGTATTTGTACTCGTGAGTGTGCAATTTTGGGATTTCATGTTTTTCATGAAAGACTATCACACAAAAGTAAGTGCTATAGAACAATGAAATTATTAATACCAAAACATGCATGCAAAATTACTATAATTTATTGAATGGATAGATTCTCATAACGTTATGTTTTATTTTATTTTTATTTTTCAAATGAAGTGTTTTGCATTGATTAGAAGATAAGATTTTTTCCAACAACTTACATTGAAATTTAATGTGAACAGAAACATAATATTTGACAGAAATATTAATGTGTTTTTATAACCCTCTCTAAAATACACTTTAGTGTGATAATAGGAAAATAAATTGATTATAAATCAAAGATATTGCTAATGCCACCACAATTTTTGGTATTGTCTTCTTGACCAAATTAATTTTTATATAAAATTTTATTCAAAATTTTATTTTTGTTGTTGCCACCACAATTGTTTCTTCATGATTCAATATATATATATATATATATATATATAAATAAAAACATATTTAAATACAAAAAAAACTAAAGATATGTAGAATGGGTGGTGGTGACAATAGCAAAAAATTGTAATGACATTATAAATATTCTAAATAATGAAATCTTGTTATATTTTAACAATCAATTATTTTTGTATCTTTTATTTTCTATTTTTTTTATTGTAACATGTATATTTTTATATATTTATTTATGTATGTTACATCAATCAAAACCAATCTATTATAAAAGAACTAAAAATCACAGTATAGAATTATATGCATTTAAAAATATATATATATATATATATATGTTGGTGTTTTATTTTTTTAATGAGTAAAATTAGAAGAGGAAATTAACAATATGTAATCATTCTTTCATTTATTACAAATACTAACAGATAATAAGATTTGAACTTCAAATACTTTTATTTTATAAGTATAGGTATTGAAATAAAATAAATAAAATAAATCTTATTTGTATGTTTAATATAATAATCTTACTGCTGAGATTCTTTGCTTTCAAAGTAAAACGAGTCCTTCTCAATAAATATTTAAACATATACTTGATATTTTATTTATATATACACACATATGTATGGATGTATTTACACATATATTCATGTACATACACCTACATATATAATATTTTTGTATAGCTACTTCCAAAGATTATTAAATGTTTAATTTTAAAGAACTGCCAAAGACACAATAGATAATTTTTATTTACATCCATCTACCCAATTATTTTGTGTTTACACTTCATATGAGTAGGAAAAAATTGTCTTTGTGTAGGGGCAATAGAGAATCTGAATGCTACTATGTATAATTAAACTTGAGAAGTTTATATTTTTTTCTACATGTAATTTTTTGTTTGAACAATTTATACTGTGATCCCTAACTGATTAATGTTTTTCATTTGAGATACATATTTCTAAATTCAAAAGAAGTTGAATTCTTTTTTTTCAAAGTTCTAAAGTAAATTTTGCAGATAGGTGTGGTTATTTTGCAATTTTCCTTGTTTAATAAATGGAGAGTGGAATTTCTATGTTATTTAAAAATAATAAAAATATTAATAATCTATATCTTATATATTTTAGAGATCTAAGATTGAGAGAATTGTGTATTTTGATTTCGCTTAAAACATGTCTTTGCAAGTTGGCCTAGTGCATAACAAATACATGTGTGTTTATGAGAATGTAAACATGAGTAAATATACAAAATGAACTAAGTGTGTTTCTCAACTTTTGGAGTTCCAAGAGGTAATACACAAGTAAGTCTTTGCTTTATTAAGCATTTATATCATGTACATTCTTATTTCAACTTGTTTAAATTATTGTTCTATTTTATTTATACTTATAATATGTAAAACAATATATTTTTTGTTCTATGTTTATTAACTTTTAATAATTTTGCATTGTTTTTTATATTTTATGATATGTTCTCACAGATGGATGCTTAGGTGGTAATATCAGCATGGAACAATTTAATCGTATTTTTTGTTTGTTGGTTGGTTGTTGTTATTAACCTATTGATTTGTAAGCAGATTTTCATTAATGTAAACTCAATTCTCATGTGTTGAGTTTGCAGTTTATTCCACATGATGTTTTTGAATCTTTTTGCAATTAATTGTCATTATGGAACTCTGAAATTGTTGCTAGGAATATGTTCTTTTAGTTCTAATATTTTTTCATATGGATCATGTCTATTCAATGCAAACTATTCCTTAACATTCAATAAAAACTAATAGGAAAACTTCTTCTCATTAGTTTTCCTATTAGTTTTCGTTATTTATTATTTATTATTCAAAACCAGCTTGCAGTCTTGTCAATCCAGAGCAGCAACTTTAGGCAAGGCAGAGCACGAATCCGACAGTGTGAGCGCAATCCCCATTTACCGCGCAAATTTAACTCTATATTTAGCAATATGGAATTTGGAGGGAAAATCGAAAACTGGCGGGCTAGCCCATTCAAACTTCGATCCAATGCGAATCCAACGGCTTACAGTCTCAATCCTTGCCGCCCAAACCACCTACACCCATTGGCTCTTTAGTAAACTCACACTATATAGCCAAAATGCCCCCACAACAGACTATCTTCAGATTTTTCAAGTGTCCGTTCGCTAGCTCAGTCGGTGTATTCTTCTCACTGTATGCCAGCTTCATCTTTGCTGTTGCCTGTTTGATTGCTGAGTCGTAGAGATGGCCCCCAAGGCAGGAGAGGAGCAGAAGGCTACCAAGTCCAAGGCCGAGAAGAAGCCCGTAGTGAAGAAGGCTGAGAAGAAGATCAAGGCCGACACTAAGGGTGATTCGAAGAAGAAGAAGTCGAAGAAGAGCGTGGAGACGTACAAGATTTACATCTATAAGGTCTTGAAGCAGGTATGAGGACTGCACTCGCTCTGCCTCGTTCAGCTTTTTTTCGGCTGTGGATGTGCGAGGTTTTAGAGTGTGTTTTTTTGAGAATTTAAGGCGTGTTCGGTGTTTATCTGCTTGGTATGGTCTGAGTGGCGTGTCACGGTTGCTTTCTTGACAGGTTCATCCTGACACTGGTATCTCATCGAAGGCTATGGGTATTATGAACTCGTTTATAAACGATATTTTCGAGAAGTTGGCTCAAGAGGCGGCTCGACTAGCTCGGTACAATAAGAAGCCCACGATTACTTCTCGCGAGATTCAGACTGCAGTGCGTCTGATTCTCCCGGGTGAGTTGGCGAAGCACGCAGTCTCAGAGGGAACCAAGGCCGTGACGAAGTTCACTAGCGCCTAGAGGAACAGTAAAAACCTAAACCAAATTGGTGTTCATTAACACCATAAATTGGGATGAAAGTGACACTTCTGATCCCCTAGTGTGTAGTTGTTATTTTTGTTTTGCTTTTTGGTTTTTTGCTTCCTATTTTGCTTCCTTTTTTTTTTTTTTTTTTTTTTAAATACTGCAGGGAGTACACATGGTCCTGCATATGCTATTCTGTCAGTGTATAGTGTTGGCTGTTTCTGGTGTTTTTTTTTTTTTTTTTTTTTTTTTGCTGTTGCTTGAACATTACCAGGCTGTCCGAGTTGCAGTATCTATGTAAGAGAAGGTACGTTGTCTAAAGATAGCCGCCTGTGGATGCAACCTGTCGGATACTTGCAACTGTGCGTCGATTTGGTTGAATCTGGTGCATGCAAATGTTATTCCTCACCTTGTGGGTATTGCTTCGAACAATTTCCAGAGAAACTCGCTGAGAATGCTCTGTGAACTTATGTCATGCCTTGGGACTAGAGGGAGCCGTAACATGGAAGCTGGCTTATATAACATCGTACATTCCCACCTTTGCGACGAGAGACAGACCTATTCGATCAGAAACTGAAGATACATATGTATTACGTCTATTCTCATTTTATAACCTGCTAGTACTCACTAGCTGCTGAATAACTTGCTAAATTACCAGGTTTGCGGTAAAACTCTAGTGAAATACTTTCATGCGCTACATCTTTGGATACAAGAATGGAAAATGGCAGTTATACTTTCGTTCTTTTAATTATTTAATTTAAATAATACATAAATGAAATATGGTATGCGATTGTAACTTCAAAATTATGCATCATTTGAACCAGTTGGGAGTAAATCTCGTATCAGACATATGTGTACAAAGATCCTCACATTCTTAATTCTGAATAATTGTGTATTGTAGAAATTTCCACATCCATTTCTTGTACATTTAAAACTATTCCAACATAATTACTCATACCTAATTCTGTGGACAATGTACAATAGATAACATTCGTATTGAAGATACATTTCATCCATAAAAAGTATCATATTCTTGTGCATAGATTAGAATTCTTTTACTGTTATATTTCTTTAATAATGAATCTTGTTGCATGAATATCGATGACATTTACAATTGAGTTTACTAAGGAGTTGATGTTGCAGTAAACTAAACCAAAGATGCTGGGATTTTATAACTTAGTGGTAATTGTCTAATAAGAAGTAAAATTTAGTTAATGAATCTATTAAATTTGGACAGTTCTCCATCAAACTTCATAAGAACAATTTTTGGTTGTTTGGTAGATGAAATTCTAATTCTACAAAAAAATGCAATGAAATTATTTACTATATAAAAGACATCAATATGATAAACCAAAGGAAAAAATTAGCCATTTGATTGCTTGTCCTAATAAACATAGGGTAGATAAGTCTTGTGCACAATGCTCTAGAATAGTCACTATTGGAAGGGGGGACTTTTAGTAAAGTACCAGTGATGTGACTTTTTTCCATTGACTCTCTCAATGATTATGTTATTCATAGTATGTTTACTATGGTGTCTCCCTTACTACAACTCTAATCTTACTTGCACTTTGAGCTCTCCATGGCTTTGTGACTTGTTGATTTTTAGGCAAGCATTGATTTCAAAGCAACAACCATCTTTATATAAATCTCTATATATAACACATGATTGAATGATACCACAAATTTTGATTTTTTATCATTAAAATTTAGGAGTATTTCCTTGAACAAAATTAACTAATTTTTTGCACATATTTTGTGACAACGACATGGATACAACTAAAGTAATTTAAAATAATACATTTGTTAAAGAAATTTCGACTATTTTAACAACTCTTTGGCAAATTATCTTAAACATCAATTGTAATAGCAAACAAAGTTGATGCATTGCAATTGAATTATTGATAGTGTCGAATACTAAAAAACTAGTAATAAAATTGTATATATATATATATATATATATATATAAAAACATATATATAAGTTAGTAAAACAAATGTATAGAATTTTATTTTTTTAAACCAATTCAAGAGTCCAAGATATATGGTTTTTTAGTAGATTTTTAAACGAAGAAATTCTCCTTGAAATAACTTTAGATATATGATGCATCTATAGATATAATTGGTATTTAAAATTCTTCTTTGACATTTTTTTAAAAGCATATTATCCATCAAATCTATTTCTATCTAAATTTCTATGTGTAATTTTTAAAGTTGTATAAAATTATCTAATAAAAAAGATCTATCAATATCATTAGATAATATTTTATCTTATTTTATTATTTATATCAATCAATTGATTGTCTTAAATTCATGAAAAATATGCACAAGTTTTTATAAATTTTTAGTAGTTATATTTTATCATGGTATAAATATAAATAATAATTTTTATTAATAATATTTACATAAAATATACTTTAGAAAAGATAATGACATATTTTTTTTAGATACAATACATTTAAAACTCTATACAAACTCATTAAAAAATCACTTCCTTGAGTACTATAAAAACCATCATACAAAAATGAAAAAATCAACAATAATTAAAAAGGTGATTATTAAAACAAAACCTATAGTATTTGATAAAAAATATAAATATAAATATATATATATATATATATATATCTGTGAAAATAAATAAATACTGTAATTTTATTAATATGTAGCACAATAAAAATCTTAATAAAAGTGCCACATATTACAAGAACTTAAACAAAGATAACAATATTACAATAGAGAGGCTTCTTTCAACTAAAATTAAAATACCTATTTTTTAGAACAATAAATAACAAAAAAAAAAAAATTCAAAATAAACAAAGGATAATTTTAAATATAAAAAATTAGATAATGTAAATAAACACCTAAAAAAAATACTTAAAAATCAATCTGAATAAAAAAAAACTAAAAATTGAACTTTATCCAATAATATGCAACAATTAGAATTATGATATTGCAAATTTTTATTTATTTTCTATTTTCTATTTTCTATTTTTTCATAAAAATAAACAATATGACTATTATTTAAGAACAAAAAAACAATAAACCGACCTGAAAAACAGCAATTCTAATTCTATTACAAATGTAATTACTTTGTTTTAAAAATATTGTTGCAAATAATGGTAACATGTTTTCCATATATCAAATACCTCAACCTAGGAACTTCATCAATGCAAGGTTCAAAAATTATAGATTTAACAATTTAGTGTCTTTTTGAAGGCAATACAATGCCTACTTAAACCACTTGAATTATACAAATATAGTCATCTAAAAGGATTACATTTAAGTATGTTAAGATAATATATTTAATCTAAGGAATCTTGAGCAACTCAAGGTAAGTCACTAACTTCTATTTATAACCAATAAATTGATGATTAAAGTTCAACCATCAAAATAACTTTTGGTCTTCATTATTTGAGCTTTAATATAATATATTAAATAAATAATATATCATGTATATATATACATATATATATATATATATATATATATAGTATTAGTGATTATTCAATAAGTGATTGATATTTTTAGAATACAGAAAGAAGGTATGCAAAAATTACTTTAGTATATTAATGATTCTTTTATAACTTCCATTTATGGTAAATATAATTATTATCAATATTGTACCTTTTAAATATATATATATATATATATATATATATACATATTAATAAACAATAATAATTTATATTCAAGAAAATAAAATAATGTTTGCAAAAAGTTGTGTATTGTGTTTTTGTTGTTGTTGTTGTTGTTGTTGTTGTTTTTTTTTTTTTTTTTTTTTTTCCATTATAATAATACTTTACATAATTTTAAATATAAAGCTTTCAGTAATAAAAAGTATGTATTGTATTATTTTGATTATTTTTTGAAAATATTAAATTTATGAGATTTAAATATTTTTTATATTGTATTTATTCATTGTAAATATTACAAAAAAATATTATTATTGAAATTTAGTCCTCTAATCCCATAAAATTACAATGAATAAAAAGTTATAACATTCTTTTTTAGATCATTTCAAAATCATTGGAAAATATTTGGAATATTTTAAAAAATTGCAAAGAACGGTTCAATTTTATTAAATAATATCGCTATAAAATATTCACAAACTCTTAAATATTAAAGATCACAATATGATTTGTATTTGTTTATTCTCACAATAACACTCTATATAAAAGATTCATTTTTTTAATGATGGTTATGATAGGGTAAGTCAATTTAGTAAATAGGTGGGTCACTTTCTCATTTCTCAATATATATATCAAATCTATAATGCCAATACTTTAGATAGAATTTTTTTATTAATGAATAAATAGAAAGAAGTTAGTAGAGAATTGAAAATAGAAAGTAGTTTCATAGCAAATATAGACATTGACAACCATTGCTTTTTCAATGTACGTAAATTAATAAAATAATACAAAAGTCTGCCTTTTGACTACTGTTGACTTTCTACTTTGAATTTAGTATTGTTTTTTATTTTATTTTATTTTATTTTTTTGCACCAATAGAAAATTTTGATTTTCTCACTAAGGATGTTGAAGAGACGATGTCGGCATGACGTTTATATATCCTAATCTCTGCAGCTAACAACGGAACAAATAAATGTACGCACTCATTTTCCCATAACTATTATGATTGAAGACATTAATTAATACTAGAGTGTAAAAGTTTAATATTCGATCAAACTCTATTATACTCTCTACACTGTATAATCTTGTTTTTGAACAGCAATTTAGCATATCACTGGAAAAAGTAGTTGTTTAACTTTTATTACAAGTGGTTTTGACAAAACCGACGAGGTTACAATTAGCTCTTCTAACAGCGCACCAATCTGCTCCAAATCCCATCATCAAACAGCTTTAGATTCGATGGAATATGTGAGTGATCAAGACACACAAACTGACCTAGTTTTCTATCTACGACGGATGACTTACTCTGGTATCCTACATTAACTACCATCACAAGCTCTTATGTACTCATTATACTACACGGCTGTGAATAATAAAGTTGTCTACTGATGTAGCATAATCAGTTGCCAGCCTTGTTTGTCTGAATAATAGAGGACAAACCATGACAGTACATTCTTACATGTCAGGAAACATCTATTTGACATCGTAAGTGACCAAACCGCGAAGTGTCATCATGAAAGCATCATTCAATGCAACAATGTATGACCAGTGACGTCACCTCTATACAAAAATTTTGAACAATGTATATAATGCCAATTTGGAGCAGGAGTACTACTTTCATCCAGATAGATGGTGTTCATAAACACCAATATGTTATAATTTCGTATTACTGTTTCTCTACGCGCTCGTGAACTTCGTTACCGCCTTCGTTCCCTCCGAGACAGCGTGCTTCGCCAACTCTCCCGGTAGGATCAGACGTACAGCAGTCTGGATCTCACGAGAGGTGATCGTTGGCTTCTTGTTATATCGAGCCAGACGAGCAGCCTCCTGCGCCAACTTCTCAAAAATATCGTTTATGAACGAGTTCATAATTCCCATAGCCTTTGATGAGATGCCTGTGTCAGGGTGGACCTAACACCAAAATCCACACCAAATCAGTCACAAAACCAACCCGTAAACAGTCAACAATGGTCCGATACATCACTACAAGTCAAACGACATCCGAACAAACTACCTCACGATAGAAAGGAAGGAAGAAATCAGATCTATGTCGACGACCGATACGAAAGTAGCAGACACAAAAACAACAATCATGTACGGGAAGCAATATAATCAGGCCTCGCAGGGATCAGAGAATAAGAAATTCATACCTGCTTCAGAACCTTGTAGATATAAATCTTGTATGTCTCCACGTTTTTCTTCGATTTCTTCCTCTTCTTTGCATCACCCTTGGTATCAGCTTTGATTTTCTTCTCGGCCTTCATCACCACGGGCTTCTTCTCGGCCTTGGACTTACCAGCCTTCTGCTCGGGAGATGCTGCCTTCGGAGCCATCTATTCCACGCTGAACAAACAACACACAGAAGAAGGAAATATAATAAGAAGGCCCTACGAGAGGAAGCACTACAAGCAATGGATGAGAAGCGAACAATAAGGGAAGCTTGACTCAGAGAATACCATATCAGGCGATTTTTTTAAAATATAGGGTAATAATGTCTCACGACAGCCAATGAGATCGCCTGCTTGTCCTGACCAGGATCGACACTGCGCACCGTTGGATGTGCATCGGAGGGGCATCTTTTAAAACCATCCGACCCGCCGTTTGACGCTTTCCCTCCAGTTGAAGCTCCAGCGAGGTTCGAATTTGGCGGGAACGAAGCTTTCCCTCACTCAGTCGAGAGCCAATGACTCGTAGCCACGTCGGACAGCGGCCAACCATTTCCGCTCACAAACTCGTTAATAATTATAATTAAAGACGAGGTGGCGAAGGTTTAGGAACTAAAATAAGATGGATAATTAAAATGCAAGAATTAGATGAAACTTATGTATTTGTTGATAAGATTGGAGAACTACTGCTCTTATGAATCTGTATTTACATCTTAAATGACTTCAAATAACCTAAGTTGCAAAAAATGATATAATTATTTTGGCTCTTTTATGTAATATTTGAAGAGAAAATGTTTTACTTATAATATTTGTGTATTCAAAAATATTAATCATTTTGAAAATATATTCATAGAAAAGCCTTGAATATCCTCTCTTGTTCTACCTATAAGTATATTTTAAGTATATACTTTTTCTTATCGCAACAAAATTTATAACAAATAGTTTTTGTTTTATGAAGACAATATAAATTACTACTAGTAATTATATTTAAAAATATTTTAAGATTTAAATTTTAAAAATTAAATATATTAATTTATACTATGAATATTTATCAAATAAAGTAAGTTGTTTATTACTTGAATAAAAATTACAAATTCCTAAGAAATTTTACAAGAATCTTAGAAATATGATTAAAAATATTCTAACTTATATATTTTTAGCATACACCACCTCAAAACAATATTCTTATTTCTTTGCATAGTTGTTTTGGTTAATGTCTTTTAATTTATTTAAAGTATTAATTTTATGATATTTTGATGAAAAAGTCATAATTTTATTAAATTAATTTTATCTAACTTCAAAATTAGATCATTAATTTTTTTTTTATTTATTAAAAATCTAACTTTTGAGAAGATTGTAAAAACCCTTATATATCATCTATTAAATGATTATCAGTGTAAAAATATTATTTTTAATTTGTAAATAACTTGTGGCATTATCTTTAATAAATCAAAAAAATTTATTGTCAAAAAATTGATCAAGAATTAGATGAAATACAGATTCATAAGAGCAGTAGTTCTCCAATCTTATCAACAAATACATAAGTTTCATCTAATTCTTGGTTTTTAGGCACCAAGAACATATGTAAATAAGTAACCAATTCAAAAATAATGATAATTTCTTTGGTTTAGTTGTTGTTGTTTTAAACAAATAAAAGTTATTTTTTTATAAATTACTATTAATTTTTTTGATTATGATATAGAATCTTTAAATACTATGATATTTAAGGAATTAAAAAAAATAAATTAACAATATTTTTATGGTTTAAGAAAGCATGGTACAAATATAAGAATATATAAGAATATATTATATAATAAGAATATATAAGAATATATAAGAATATTATATAATAATAATATATAAGAATATATAATAAGTCATTAATGTAATATTAATTATACCTCAAATCCTAAGATTATATACACACAAATAAATATATATATATCTATATATATATCAAAATAGGATATGATATATAATAGAAAACAACATTTATTTTAAAAGATTCTAAATAAATTTGAATAAGATAATCTAAAAAATTCATGTTGTATTTTAAGTAGTACTAAAGTCTTATGATTGATGACTTCTATAAACTTATAACTTCCAAAGTCACTAAATTCTTATAAAATTATTATAAATTTTAATTAGATATAAGTAAAATTTGTATAGAATTTTTGAGTAATATAAATATATATTTATCTTAGCCAATATATTTAGAGACTTGTATTTTTAAGAGATAATATAAAATAATAAAAAATAAAAAATAAAACTATAATGAAACTTAGATATTAACTTTATATATTTTTGAAAATAGTATAAATAAATTATTTTTTAAATCATTGTTAGTATATTTAATTAAATTATTATATTAATTATAAATTATTTTAAAAAAACCAATAAAAAAAACCAATATTCCTGCTTTATTTTTTATTCACTTATAAGTTTTTTGTAAGAAATACCCATTTCATTAATTTCTAATATAACTTCAAGTTCTAATTATACATCATAAATTCAAGTAAAAATAATGAAATGAAATAATAATAATGAAATAATAATAATAATAAAATGATAACGTTGTCTATTTTTGCATATCTGATACTTTTTGATAATTATAAAAAGAAGTAGTAATTGAAGTTAAAGTTGTACAAAAATCATAATTTCAATTTTAATCTTAAAGCTTAGAGTGTAAAAGTTTATTACTCAGCTTCACCAATTCCAACTAAAGTAATACAATATGTAGTTTTTTTTATGGATAGATTTATTGCAAGAAAATTCCACCTATTAGCATATATATAAGAATGGTTTTTTTGGGATATCTCCAAAAGAGAATTTAATAAGAAATTTTTATACTCGATAATTCTTAAAATTAAATTTATTAAAGAAAAAAATTATTGGTTTTACAAGTAGAATATTTAAAAGTAGAAATTTTTTTAAAGAAGTTTAAGACCAAATTATTGATGTCAATGAAATATAAGTTGTTATCTAAAGATACTTTAAAGAGTTCACAAACTATAAATATAGATGGTTTTTTAAATTTTATATATAAATTTTTCTTTGTGGTAAGAATTGAAGATGTCTTCACAAAGGTATTCATTTCATTCGTGCTAACTAAGAAGGAACTAGAGCATCTAAAGAATAAGATTAATGATTTCATATCCCAAAGAAAGCTTAAAATGAAGGACTACCAGAACTTTATCACATCAATTGACAAATCTTTAACTACATACAAAGTAGACAAAAGAAGACAAAGTATAATGTACATATCAAAAAGTGTCAAATTATGGTGTTTTGAATTTAGGAAAAAATATATATATATATATATATATATATATATATAACTTTTCAATTATAATAAATAAATAGATAGGTTTATGAAGATAAGTTATAAGATTTGGCTTTAACTTGTTTCTTTTTTTTATAATGACTAACAATTTAATTTTTTTGTAGGTATTAAAAATACTAATAAAAAATATAATGACTTTTTAAATAATTTAAAAGTAGATTTTAAAAAATTAAATCACAAAATATTAATCCAAATACAATTTTCATTAGGTGAAAAAATTATTATTATTATTAAGATTATTTTATCATTGTGATATTTATTTTTGACATTTTTTTTATAATCTATTGAAAGTATACATCAAATCTGCTATACATTGTGTTCTTTAGAATGAAAAAAAAATTATAGATATTACAAGTGAATATTAAGAAAGTCTATCAAGCATATATGTCAAACATAATTTTATGTTTTAATTCCAATTTTTTGGATTAGTCTACTTTTTAAATCTTTACCAATAACTTTGTTTTTATTGAATGATAAAAAATGGTTTATATCACTTTATTCAAAAATATCAATACACTGATCTACCCATTTTGATGTTATTTTTTACAACTTAATTAAATATTAAAAATAAAGAAAAGCATATGGTTTTTCCTTATGAAACCACAACTAACTTCTGGTTCATCAATAGCTAAACCAATGGCTTGTAATAATTTTCAAAATAACTAGATATCAATTGCAGTTCTTGATCTAAAATTTCTCCGTAGTATATGGAATTTCCATTCCAAAGAATTTAAAAAAAAAAAAAAATCATTGTAAAAAATGACCTTATTTACATTAAATAGAAAAAAAAACAAAAAACAAAAAAAAACAAAAACAAAAACAAAAACACGCTTAGTTTCCAAACACAAAATCAAATGGCTTGTGAATATGCAAATTTCTATTAAAAAAATATATGCGAAAAATCTCATAGAAATTAAAATTTTAAAAAATAAATTGTACCATCATATTATTTATTATTTATTTTTATTTTTTTAAAGCAACAAACAATTGGGAGAAAAAACTGTAATAGGACCATATGAAAAAGAAACAAGCAATAAAAGAGAAGGTAAGGAGTAGAAAGACGAGAGAGAAATAAAGATAAAGATGAGAACGAGTCCAAGACAAAGACGGCACCGAGATAAAGATAAAGATAAGTAAAAAACAGGGAAAGATAGGAAGAAGGGACGAACGATGCGTAGGCTTGAAACCCAAAACCCAATCCAAGTTATCCAATCCAGTGTCTCGCTTCGTCTCCGTCGCCGCAGGCGCACACACACGCACCAACACCGCGAGCAAGCGAGCGAGCGAGAGCGAAAGAGTGCGAAAGCGAGACGCACACATTCCTGGCATTTCTGCCACTCCTCGCCATCCATCACTCTCACCCTCACACTTCAATTGGTGGCTCTCATCGCTCGCTCTCTACTCATTCATTCTCTTGCTGCTGAGTTTCCACCTCTTCTCTGTCTCGGTCCCTCAAGCATTCTCACACTCTCTTTGTCTGAACTACCTCCAATTTTGCTTCTTCGTGATACTTGGGGTTTAGCCATGGCGGCCTCGTGCGCCTCCTCCTCGCTGTTGCTGAGGCCATCCATGTTGCGGTCCACTATTCCCTGGGAGGTTGCCTCTTCCCCTAGACAGGAGTCGGTGGCGATGCGAGCTGCGATTGTGCCCGGGCCACCTTCTGCGAATGAGACGTGGGGGAGTGGTGCGGTGGACGGGGACGATGAGGGTGAATGGGAGGAGATTCCCGTGCACCGGGTGACGGTTAGGGACCGGCAAAAGGGCGTCACGCACAGCTTCTGGGTGCCGGAGGTGAGTCTTGGTTTGGATAAGTTGCAAGGGGTTGCATGAGAGGTTGAAATTGAGTGGCTGCAATGCGTTGCGATTCTCGGAAACTCCGATGGGTATTTCATACTGGAGTGTTCCGGTGCATGCTGTGCTCCCCTCCTTAAATTGTATGGGCCGACATCGTGGAAGAATTATGGGTGAAGTGTCGACATGTTTGAAGTACGAGGATTGGCTCGTTTGCAGCTTCACCAGACACCTTTGATACCAACTTCTTCGTTAGAAGTCTCACGTTGGAATCAAATGTCTTCATTGTGTGCAGTTGGAGGCTTAAGGCACATGAAACCGAGAGAAACGTATGATTGCAAGAAATTATATCTGGCACGAGTCTATTAGCTTGTGGTCAAGGGGTTATTACTATGATCGCCTCGCTATTGACAAATCTTTGTGGTTGCAGGATCGGTACATCCTTCAAACTGGAGAAGAGCAACAGATAGACTTGCCATTTTCGTGTAGACATGGTACGAACATTTCCAATCTAATTCTTCGTCATTTATTTATTTATTTATTTATAGATTCTTCTGATCGACAAATATTTACATGCTAGAATTCATACATTCCCAGGGTTTAGATTACTGGAGATTTCGAGAATTTGAGAGTAGATGCTTTGTCCGTCATAGCATACTGGGGAAAATAATAGTTTTACAGTCATATATGGCATTTATAAATTGAAGTTGCGTCTAGTATCCTGCGTGCTATGGTAATTACAATTTCTTCACAAGACTAAGAAGAAGTATATAATGAATCTTATATTATTCCAGCAGTCGAATTTAGAGTTTTTGATATGAGTAACCTTTTGCTGAGGCTTACATGAAGTGCATCTGGCCCGTCATTGTGTTCAGGGTGCTGTACTGCATGTGCTGTGCGGGTGAAATCTGGACAATTATACCAACCTCAGGCTCTCGGTATTTCTGCAGAATTGAGAGAAAAGGTTTGTTCCTTTCTCGAAATCATACCTTTCTGCATTGGTGATTTCTTTTGTTTTAAGAACACATGTGTTCACGGGTTACAGAGGTTTGAGTGACTGGAATATTAGCTATGTCTAATAGTTAATAGGGGTAAAAATTCATTTTCTCAAATTAGCAGAGTTGATGTCCAGAATTCAATAACTATGAGTCTCGATAAACTCGCGAGTTATGGTCTAAATTGCAGTTGGTATATATCTTAGTATACATAATTTTAGTTTTTGATGTGTTCAGCTGACCACTGATAACAGTGAATAATATGTTCAGGGCTATGGGCTTCTCTGTGTCGGCTACCCTCTGTCAGATATCGAAGTTGAAACTCAGGACGAAGACGAGGTAAATATTTCTTATTAAAACTTGTATGTCGCAGTTCCAGCTATGTCGCAGTTTCAGATTTCTTAAATCGTGTAATTTTGCTCTTGCAACATGCAGGTTTACTGGCTGCAATTTGGACAATACTTCGCAAGGAACGCTATTGTACGCAGACCTCCACATATTATTGCCTGTTGGTTCTTTCCATCATCTGATAATCGAAACGTGCCTGGATTTATCTGCTGCATATAATTAACTCTTCGCTCACTTTAATTCTTTTAAATGATGAATTGGCAGGACCGAGACGATTTCGCGCTGGAGTTGGCCGTAGCCGACGAGTAGGGCAACCATTTTTAAGGGACAAATTAGTGATCAGGGTCAGAATTCTGGGCTTTGCAGAGTTAGAGGCGCCATGATTCTCACACAAGCCTTTCATTGCAGTTTCGGAAGATGTCATCTCGAACTTCAGGTCTTCATTGAAAGTTACATGCTAAAAAAACTTCAGTGTACAAGGAACAGGTGTAGAAAAGGAGTTTTCATAGGAAATCGATTTGAACAAACAGTAGCTGGATTGAGTTTAGTTTAAAAGCGGAGTTTGGAAGAAGGGTGGGATAATGAGGATAATATAGAACCTTTTTTGGTTTAAATGAGATTGACACGGAGTGCCAATATCTGTATTTCTGCTTTTGGTCATAGGTCCGTCGTTTGCTGCAGCTGTGTATTTTGGTTTCTGGCAGGGCAAGGTGTGTGACATCCTCGGTCACACATGGCCTGAACTGTCCTGGCTGACAGGGGTTAGTCACTTGCAGAACATGGGAAGTTCAAGTGCACATGTATTTTACTTGGATGATTGTATCCCTGAGTCTGTAGTGAGAGTTGTCTATGATCCTGGTCACATGATCTAACTACCCATGATCATGCTCCTGCTTGTTCATGGATTATCACTGACAATCAACAGAGGTTAGCTAGCAGCTTAAAAATGGTTGGTCCCACGCCCCTGTGTTTTAGGATAACCTTCCACACCCTTGAACAACGTTTCTGAAGAACAAATTCTGGCTGAACCGCGTGTTTGGATGACAACGACCACCACCTCATGCTAGATTTGTGAAATGAGATACTTAGCATCAATCAACTGGGTGTAGCAGTGCTTTGTTAACTTCTGTACCCTGTCCACACAAATCCAATCTCTGAGAGGCTCAGTTTGTAGTGCCACTTGGAACTCCGAATGTTGGTGACATGTGCCAACCCCATCTCCAGGACCGCAACCCATCAACTTGGAAAACTGCCTCTATCTAGACCATGGATTACTCTCAAATTACGCCTACTACTCTATCTCGCACTTATCCTTACAAAAATATTGACAATCTGATCCAACCAAAGACCCTAAAACTGTTGTTTTTCATGAATAAGAGAATAATTTATTGTTAACTCTGTTTAAACAATGCAGCGTAAACTTCAAATCCATTGACTTCTGAATTTGTGATAACCCAATTTGTGATAACCCAATTTGTGATAATCCTGTTAGCTTTGTATTCTTCTGCACAGTTTGTTGTTTCTGTTCTATGTGTTAGATTGAGCCTTGTAAGACTTGGATGCAACCCTAGCAACTTCCAACACTATGTATCTTCAATGTAATGATATTCAAGGAACAAGCAATCAATTTGTTACATGAAACAAATGTTAGGATTGTTATTGATGGACAACATTTATAAAATAACGACAAGAATTTTAGTACCTGTGATTATTATATGCTTTTTTTAAGGCTTTGCACCAACACAATTGTACTTGAAAAGTACATCTTTTGCTTTTAATGCTATTTTGTGAAAGACCAATTTTTTTGTAAAGAACTTAAATTAATAATCTACAGTGTATGCTAATTAAATCAAAATCAGCTAATCAAAAAAATAATCTGTTGTTATTATTAATATTATTATTGATTTAATTGTATTAAATTCATCAAAGATCATATTTGTTTCTCTATTACAAAACAAAAAACACATGACATTTATTGATATACATAACTATACATATATATATATATATATATATATATATATATTGAGTTGTTAATTCTTTGTTGTTCAGAAAAAAAATAGACAATATATCTTTATTGGCACAATATCTGAACAACATATATTTGTTTGACAATACGTTGCAAATATATCACATATGTGTATACGTACACATATGCACTTACAACTCTTAAAGTTTTTTATTTTTTTATATTGATGTTGCATTCATTGTGCAACAAGAAAAAACACTTTGATTGTATGTATATAATTATTAATATTATATATATAGAAACATGAAAAAAGATTTGAACTCCAATACAGCAATCCTGTGACACCATATCAATAAAAATAAATAAAAAAATATATTAAATAGGAAAATAAAAATGTGACACCATATCAATAAAAATAAATAAAAAATATATTAAATAGGAAAATAAAAATGGTGTTTGTCAGTATAAAGTCATATATCTCATTTGTACAATTTTTTACAACAAGTGTATTAATAAAAAGAGAATATTTTCATATTATATTATATATATATATATATATATATATATATATATATTGTTTACTTAATACAACATATACTTTTCATTGTTTGTTAGTGTTGTTTTTATTGTATAGAAGTCACGTGTGTTGTGGTTATACTAAACATACATCCGTTCAACTAAATGGTTGTATTTCGGACTAATTCCAAAAAGTAACTTTTTAACTTTTTTGACTATACCATAGTGAAGCTACAACAGGGTTCAGAATGGAAAAGGGCGGCAAGCTTATTGTGAAGCGGGGGCTTGATTCCATTGTCGAGGTGACAAACTCTTTGGCATCGCATCACGATCTTCCAGCAAGAATGCGCGGGGTGAAACCTCGATGGCTGGCGCCAAAATGATATTCAAATTTTTCATCTGCGATTAGATCCTACGGTCCACATCCTCAATGCTAGCCGCGAAAATAAACACACCCATTGGCTCCTTCAAACCCTAGGATTGTAAGTATAAACACGTAGAGAAAATTCTCATAGTTCCTTATTGCAATCTGTCTATCTCTCTCTCTTGCAACGTCGTCCTTCTAGACCTCGCTCATTTTATTCTTCCTTATAGGTCTTTTACTCCTGTCGATTTGCTTACTGTCTTCGTTGCGTGTTTAGAATGGCTCCCAAGACAGGAGAGGAGCAGAAGGCCGGCAAATCCAAGGCCGAGAAGAAGCCGGTGGTGAAGAAGGCTGAGAAGAAGATCAAGGCTGACATCAAGGGTGATGCCAAGAAGAAGAAGTCGAAGAAGAGCATTGAGACTTACAAGATCTACATCTATAAAGTTCTTAAACAGGTGAGTGAAGGTTTTGTCTGTCAGATCGTTTGCAATCAGATTATTTGCTTAGTGTCTCTTTGTCTACTTCCGTTGACGTGTTTGTCATTAGGATGCTAATTGTGGATTTCGTTGTGTCTCTGGTTTGAAGGTGCATCCCGATACTGGTATATCCTCGAAGGCGATGGGCATCATGAACTCGTTCATTAATGATATTTTTGAGAAGTTAGCACAGGAGGCCGCACGCCTAGCCCGCTACAACAAGAAGCCGACCATCACCTCTCGTGAGATTCAGACTGCTGTGCGTCTGATTCTGCCGGGTGAGTTGGCGAAGCATGCTGTATCTGAGGGGACCAAGGCTGTGACGAAGTTCACGAGCGCATAAAATCTTCCAGCTCGGCTTTATCCATATCAACATGGTGTTATTAAACACCATCTTTTGAGTTGAAAACATCATCCTCAACGCGCTTTGTTCGATTGGGACGATGATCTATTGGCTCTGATGGTGGTCAGAGCAGTCTACCTCGTTTCTAGATATGGAACACGTGTTGCGGATCGCGACCTGTGTGCTTGTTCGGACTGAGGTTACAGTGTCTTTGCTGTCTTGATTGCGGGTGAGGAGTACCAACGTTCTGCAATTTACAGTTTATGTGTGCTCGATTGATGAATGCGGGGTCGGAACTGATTGCGAGTTCAGGATTTTTAGGGTTCAATGGCATCGTAACTCAGAAGTGCGCCCATGGTAGACTCGGGAGTATGTGGAATTATAGATCCACAGGATCAGATTTCATATTTGAAATGGCCCATGTGTACACCTAATTGACGTGGCTGATGTGCGGTTGCTGAAGCCGGTGGGTTCTTTACAATGCCAGGTAATCTCATGTATCTTCAAAATGGAGGTGAGAGAATAAGTACCTGCTTCAGCTGGAAGCATTCGAAGAAGTGTGTCAGACACTCTGTAGTCAGCTGAATGCTTTGTAACTTCTTACTTCTGCTTGATTTGCTACGTACAACTGATATGCTGGGTTTGTTGGTAGTGGCTCTGTATCATTCGCTAGCAGATATGTTTCAAGTAATGATACTAAATGAAGAATATGGTAACTATCATGAATGTGGTTGCCTGTGGTTGGTTTTGTATTAGTAGAGTAATTAAGACGTTATTTTTCTATTCTGTTCATGATGGTTAAGATGGATAGGTTACTTTAGTAAAATCTTGGGTCTATTTAACATTCTCCTCAAATAACTTCTTATATGCTACTTAGTTGACTCTTCGATAAATCTTAAAACACTCTTGACATTAATAGAAGCATCTTCTAAATCCTTGAGTCCTGACATGGCTGAGAGTGAGTGCACAGGAGATCAATCTAATTTTATTTAATAGTTAAGTAGTATCTAATATTAACAAGTATAACTATCTTGCTTCCGTTATTCACTTCCTTAATTTAATAGAAATCCAAGAATTTTATAAATGTGAATCTATTTGTTTAATACATTGTCTATTTATAAAAACATTGTTTTATTTTTCGATTTGGTATTTTTTTTTTCCTTTGAATACTTTTATTGAAGTGCAAAATTAGATAAGTTCAACTAAATTATCTTCTATTCGTTAATTGCAACATATTATTGTTTTCATCTTAATTCTAATGTCGTAAAAATAAAGTATGTAATTTATGCTCTAATATTTTAATATGATTACAAAAATTATCTCATTTCTTAATGTAATCAACTTCTTTAGGTGTTATGTTATTTCTACTATCTTAATTTAATCTTGGTCGATTATTTTATTTTATTTTATTTTATTTAAATTCTTTCTTTGACTTACTTCCATTGATCATATTATTTGTAACATAGTTCTTTAATGCAATTAAATTTGATGTATAGCTTCTATTTTTATATTATTTTTTAATTTGTATTTTTTAATATGACATAAAGCTTAATCTTCTCATTATAATAAAACATCTATTACTTTCTTTAAGATCTTCAAACATATCTTTGTACCTTTGGAACTATTCTTTGAGCTAATTGGTCTTATTCATTACAATTATTACTTACTTTGTGTATCTTTGTCTAATATCTTTGTTACTTCAAATACAATAGGATTTAATTTCATAATTTATGGAATAACTAGTATTTGAATTGAAACTTCTTACATTTGTTATTTATTTATTTATAATTAAAGATATTTTTTTATAAAGGTCTCTATTTGTACTTTGTTTGCATTTTACAATCATTTGTTTATCTATTAATATTCTATTTATTTCTAAATAGTTAATATATATTATCTAATATATATTATAAATATTATCTATTAATATATATTATATATTATATAATAACCAATTATAATTTTTCTTGGTTTTATTTAATTATATGCTTTGTCTTAAAGATACTATTGTTGTGATAATAAGTTAATAATTTTTACCTTTTACATTATTTAAAAAAATGCAATCAAGTTTGTGGTAATAAGTTTGTAGTGATGTATTATTTTAGATTTATAAAGATAGAAAATATCTAATTAAAATTTTATTTATTTAAATTAATTAACTATTATTAATAGTTTGAATATGTTCTTTATTTTTTCATAATAATAGATTTTTAAAACAAACCACTCTATCACTATTATGAATCTCAATCTGTGTAATTTAGTTAAATCATCTACTTGGATATTTTTATGTCTTTAAGTTTTTTAATTTTTTTTAAAGTACTACTCATCACTTTTTTATTTCTATTGTAAAGATTTATTTGCCTATTTTGTTAAAAAATAGTACTATCTTAATAAAAATCTTAGTGATTACAATGGCTTTTATTCTTATATATGACAAAATGGTGTGGCCATTTTGAATTTGATTTTGACTTTGATTTTTAAAAAATTTCTTTGGACTATCCATAAGATGTCCAACTCTTTGATTTGTAATTTTTTTCATATATTAGGTGGTAGAATAATATTAACTATTTCATTTTTTTTTTTTCTTTTTTTTCTTCTTCTTATGTCTTCTACTTCTTGTTCGACCTTTTCTTTTCTTTGTTTTAATAGTGGATTTTGTACTTTTTTTATATTTTATGTATATATCTTATAATGAATGAAATTAAAATCCAAAAATATCTTGTATTAAATATTTTAATGCACTCATTCTTTTTAATACCTTGCGTGTTAGTCTTATACTTTGTGATGGTTTGGCAGATTAAACCTTAATATTTTTTTCATCATAATTGCTTTTATGACTTAGAGCATCCAATTCAAGTAAAATTATTACTATTATAATTGTTTCTAATGTCTTTGCTTTATATGCTTAGTAGCAAAGTGTGTGGCTGTTAAAATATCTTATTTATTTATATAATATATGATAGGTTTTAATAAAATCAAGTATTTTTTTAATGAAAGTTTCTATAAGTAATAATGTTATGAGAGATATAAATCTTATTCAACTATGGCACTTATTCTAGCAATAGTCACATATGCAACAAACTTTGTATATATTTTTATATAAAATTCACTACAAATATCTAGCATCAAGTATTTTTCAAGTTAAAATATTTTTGAAAAATGAACATTTTTAGCAACTTAATGTATAACTTGTGAGATATAATCTACCTTAAGGAATTATAATATTTAACAAAAAAAAAAAATCCATACTACAATAATAATATATTTTATCTAAAAGCATATATATAATAATAATTTTATATTTATATTTTAGATATAGAAATTAGTGGCTTAGTTAAATACTAATATTATCATACTTTAACTAATCAGTTAATTTTTATATAAAAAATGTTAGTGTCTATAGTCTAATATTAGAATCTTATAGAATGTTGATTATGTATTGTGCAACTTAAGACATTAGCATACAATGAAACTTACTCAACTAATAGTCTATTATAAAAATAAAATTCTTATATAATAGGATTTAGTAAAAATAATAAAAAATAAATATTAGAATTATTTTATCATGAAAATAAATACTGAATAATCAAAAAAGAATACTAATTTTTTTAATACATATTGTAAATTTTTTAAAGAAGCAAACACTATTGTCAATGCTTCTTGTTTGGTAGTGGTATATATTGGAGATTAATATTTTGTGTACTTGTGCAATACTAAGAAGGAATAATAAAAGAAAAGAAAAGAAAAAACATGGACATAAAATAATAATGTGCTTATATGAAAATTTCAAAAATAACATAAAGATTCTTCAACAAAGAGTTGAATATAAAAAAAATAGCAAGATTAAAGATAACTTTCATCTTAACTATATGAATATTGGTCAACAAAAATATTTTATAAAAACATTCTAAAAACTATACAACTCACTACTTAAGAATTGAGTTATAGGGTATTTGCATAAAAAATTATTAAAGATAGAAAACTTATTAGAAGAATTTTTTATAAGTATATGATATATGTAAAAGAATAGATAGACTAAATTATATCTACAAAAATTCTTTGTTGATTTTTAAGAATGTTTTTATTCACTTATCATGTTTCTACCTACTTATATTAACTTGAATAATATATCCAACTGTTCTATTATATCTTTTTTCTTTCCTCCTTCAAAGAATAAATTCTAGAAGAGGAAGCCAAGTTGTTTTATAAATTATTAAAAGTCAAGACTTTTGATATGATATTTGTTAAAAACTTCATATATATTTGGCATGATGGTAATTGATAGATTTTTTGAATTTCTAATAATGCTCTATACAAATGAAAAAAGTCCATTCACTTATTTAATCATTATTGAGGTTTTGACAAGTGTTCTTAAATAAAATATTTAGAATTTTATTAAATGTGGTATCCATCTCCTAAAATATTGATAAAAATTAAAATGATCTTTTAAGAATTTGATAAATGTAATTTTTATTTTTTTTTATCTAAATATAAATTAAAAAATAAATATAAGAGAATTTATTTTAATTTCAAAATTATGAAGATTGAGACTACAAATATAAATTATTTAACAATTTTACAAGTAATATTCTTAAAAATAAATAGATTTTTATATTAATTATATATTTTTATTAAAAAAGCGATCTACATAAAAGTTTTAAAATTTAATTTATAAGTTTTTTCTTTTTTCTAGTTTAAGTATCTTGATTAAATTATGAAATTGGATTAAAGATATATATATAATCTTTGTTAATTCTACTAATTGAAAGTAATATAAAAATAGACTTGAATATTTTCACAAAAGTCGATGGTCTAATATTTCAATATTAAAATTATATATAATTAATTATTATTTATATTATGATAAATTAATAAAATTTCATTATTAGTTTTAAACAAGGATGTAATTATCTAAAGATATTTTTATTAATTTACTTCTTAAATTAAACTATTTTTAGTTGCATCTTTATTATTATATGAAATCATGCTATCTTTCTTGTAATATCTTCTACTATTAGATTATTATCTTTTAGAAATTCAAAATATTAAATTTTAGATAATAACATATTTTAAAAAATGGTATTTTTTTGTTTAAAACATTATTATTTACAAGTAATAAGATCATTTTCTAATTACCTTTATAATCATAATTTATTTTTTGCAATAATTTTTTATAACTTTTTAAGTAAAATTTATATTTTTTTTATTAATTTAAAGACAAAAGGTTGAAAAGTTTATTATCCATGCTTCATTTTTTAAAAACATTTCTTTCAAAACCTTCATACAAGTTAGTGTCATTGATAACATATAATATTAATTAGAAGTCCTTAAAATCAAAAGACATTATTAAAGAAGATTGTTATTTTTATTTATTAATATTTATTTCTAAAGTATAAAGTATGCCATTGTGATTGGATGATCTGCTATTACAAAAATATAGTTTTAAAAAATATGAAAATTTAAAAAATTTGTAATTAAGTCCATTAAAATATAATTATATTACAATGGATAAGAGTTAAAAAAGTCTGTACAATTAATAATGTAAGGTCTTTGCTTTAGAACATGTATTGTGAAATTGATGAAATCATTTTGCAACTTTCTACATTTCAAACTACAATTATTTTTTAAAATGAGTTCTAAGATTTTATTTTTATTTTTATTTTTAATATCTTAATTTTAGACATTTATATTATATCTTAAAGACATAAAATTTATTTTGAACTTTTAGAACATATACATTTCTTGTAACATTAAGTTTTCTGAAATTGTAATGCATACAATTTTTAATTTCATAAAAAATAAGTCTATTGATATATTTGAACAACCTCTCTTAAAAAAATATAAAATTTCTTAGAACTTATGATTTTATAGTTTGAAGAATTATTTTTTTAGTTTTTATAGGATGATATTTTGTTAATTAGATACTACAATTT